ACATCACAGAAAGACAGACTGCTCAGGAAATAATACATGGGCGTGTGAAGTCTGGAGTCCATCTTGATCAGCAATATCATCCCTAGATTGGCAGTCACAGTTATTCCATAAACAAGGAGGAAGAGAGCAAAGAGCCCCAGCTGCACATCTTGCTGGCCAGAGAGTCCTAAGAAGACAAAGTCAGTAAACACAGTGCAGTTTTCAATCCTCATTGCTCAGATCTGGAAATCCCTGGTTGTGAAAGGAGATGGAAGTAGAAGGTTAACATCATTTTACTACATTAACACTTAACCTACTGGGTTAAGAGATTACAGCAAAAAAAGAGGTAAGTAATAGCAGGATTATTTAAAGTAAACTGACTTTACCAGTGCAATGCAAATTAATAAGATGACAGTGATAATCATGTTTCTTATATTTGTATCTTACTGTAGAGAAGTTGCAGCACACTCTCATCCAAACTAACTGTGTTATTTCTATGGAAAGCTACATAGTACTTATGATTTTTTGGACTACTTCCATTGTGTAGAATAAGAAATTCATGTACTCAAATTCAAGGTAAAAATTCTTACAATCAGTTCATCCAGATAGCCATGTTTTCTGACAATATTGCTACAGATTTTGTAGAAATATTGTTATATTCTGTGATAGAGAACACACGTAAGTGAGCAGTGTCAGTATAGAGTATGTCCCATGATTTTCTCCTTGTCATCCAAAATTTGGAGTAAACAAAGCCATAGCAGATTCCACTTGCCCAATCTAGATCAGTACGTGAAGCTGCATCCCACTGTTCCTGGGATACAGACTGCCTGTGATTCAGCATTCAGTGGCATAGAAAGTGTGGTGGATGCAGGAGAAGCATGTGGCATGTGGAAGGGGCTCGGCGAACAATAAGCTGGAGTGGGGAGATAGAACTATGTCAGGGCTAGCCATGCCCTCCTCTGAAATCTACTGATGCCCAGCAGAAATAGAACATTTTCAGCCCAACCACAGGAATACTAGTGGCATAAGCAACAGGGAGCCACAAAAGGCACCACTTTACTGTATAAATCCCTGTGCCCTAATCAACAGGCACACACATGATCTACTCACAGCAGAGTACATGTGTAAGAAGTGTGATAACAATGCTTGTATGTTCATAGCCCCATAGCCTCTGAGAGATTTGTTTCTGAACAGTGCTCCCCATTCCAGTTTTCCAGAAAGTATTTTGTTTTCTTGGTCCAATATATTTTATTGTTTTTTTCTTGGTCCTTATTTGTTTTGTATACCTCTGAAGTCTTCTAACCTTTGCTTAAAAGAGTTAATTGTCCTTAGAATGCCAGTAGAATTCTAGATCCTATTGTTATATTTTAACTGAACTAATTATATACTATACAATGACATACACATCCTCTTACATTCTCTCAATATATAAAAAATTGCACTTGAAAGTAGGAGAACAAAAGCAAAGACAAAAAATGATAACTGAATAAGAATATAATGATCAGTATGTGAGTCTCCAGTACTTTGGCTTAAACTCATTTAAATGTCTATCTCTGTGGATAGATTTTTAAAAATAATTATTTTATTTGTACTATAAGAACATATTAAAATACAGGTAAGAGATTAAAAGTGATAAAATAATGTCTGAGAACCTCAATAACCCATGGTAGTATTTATTGTATTCACTTATAACTATGTATATACCTATTTAAAATGCTAGGGGCTGCTGCTTGCAATGCTGGCATCCCATATTGGAGTGCCAGGACAAGTTCTGGCTCCTGTGTTACCATTCCAGCTCCCTGCTAATGTGCTCAGAAGGCAGCAGTTGATTGTCCAAGTACTTGGTTCACTGCCACCCATGTGAGAGACCAGGATGGGATTCCTGGCTCCTGGCTTTGGCCTAGCCCCTAGCCCTGGCTATAGAGGTGATTTGGAAAGTAAAGTGATGGATGGAAGTTTCTCTCTCTCTCTCTCTTTCTCTCACTCTCTCTCTCTCTTTCTCTCTCTGACTTTTGAATAAATAAAACTTCAATTTAAAAAAATAAAATAAACATTAATAATAAAAACACGTTTGCATTAAATTACATAGTCTCCTTTGTTTTGTAACATATTCAGTGGAAAAAAGGAGAAAGGATTAAATACATATACACAATAAATTAGAAAAATAGCAAGGATATTTTTACCTGATAGAGAATCACCGATTTCTTCACTGGATGAAGTTCTACCTACTCAAGTGTTCAGCATTGTCCCCTGATTGACCTAGATTATATAACCATCTCTGTGCCTAGTCCCTTGGTGTTTAACACTTAGCCCCTTAGGAATAAGTAAGAAATATAATAATATGTTTTAACATCTGATATGTTATGCAGGTAGGGTAATTGAGACATCATGCAATATTTTATAATTTTTTCTTTTGCCTTGATCTAGCTTAATGGCAAAAATTGTACATAATTAGCAAAAGAGAAATGACTCCAGTCAGTAAGTATTCAATATTTCCAGTTCATCAATAAATCTGTAGGATTTTGTTTTAATTGCATAATGTATTAAACAAGTACACATCCACCCATATTTGCATATGCTTTCATGAACATATATATACAAGTTTTCCTTAAATGCATTTACAAAGATGTTTATAAGCAGAACTAATATTGTTATCACACCGCTTAGGTATAACCAGATTTTGTTGCCAATTCTATTGTATTTCTTATATTTAAACAATCCAATTTTTAAAATGACATTAGAAGAACAACATTTTTATGTAAGTAATGTCTAGATCCAATGAATTATATTCTATTTACATGCAATACTTTATTTAATCTATCCTCTGTCATCTGGTTAATATAGAACTCTTCAAATCAGAAAATGTCATATTTGAGTAAAATTATACATATATAATTTATCATATCCTGATTTTTTTGAAAAATGGACAAAGGTCTTTAACAGACATATCTTTTTTAAAAAGATTTATTTATTTCATTTGAAAGGCTGAGTTACAGAAAGGGTAAGGCAGAGAGAAAAAGAGAGAGGTCTTCCATCCACTGTTCACTCCCCAGATGGCTGCAATGGCCGGAGATGAGCTGATCTGAAGCCAGGAGCCAGGAGCTTCCTCCAGATCACCCACATGGGTGCAGAAGCCCAAGGACTTGGGACGTCTTCTACTGCTTTCCCAGGCCGTAGTAGAGAGCTGGATCGAAAGTGGAGCAGCCAGGATTCCAACTGGTGTCCATATGGGATGTCAGTACTGCAGTTGACAGCTTTTCCCGCTACCCCATATCTCTGGTCCCAATAGACATTTTATAAAAGAAGAAATACAAATGATCATTCAATGTCTTTTTATTTTTGACAATTACATTGGATGATCAAGAGTTTTGTTGGATAATTCAGGTACATTGCCTTACCCACATTTTCTCAGTAAGCTTAGCCAATGCCCTGAGGTGAAATACATGAAGTAGGTGGATATCAGGAAAGTACCCAGATACCCAAATCTTTGTAGATTAATAATCTTAGCATGCCCAATATCACAACATCAAACCTTCAGTTCATTAAACTTTACTATGCAGCACACACTCAAATATTTCACAGATGTTGGTTTTTTCAACTTTTATTTAATATAGATTTCCAAAGTACAACTTTTAAATTATAGCGGTTTTTCCCTCCATAACCTCCCTCCCACCCGCAACCATCTTTTATTATTGGTTGGCTTTCCATTTATTTTTCAATTTGTGTACCAGACATAAAGCAGTTTGACAGATGAGAGCCATAAATCCTACAGTCCTCAAGCAAAGAGGACTCAGTTATATAGCAGACAGTGATTTAATAAAAGCAGTGATAGAATAATGACTTCAGGAGAATAATATTTATGAGCCTTAAAGAGTAGCTTTTAACAAGAATTAAGAATGAAGAAGTGGGAAGACATTCTGTTTAAGTTAATTGAGTTGAGACTTTCTTGACAGCAATGGAATTTGATGACACTGTTCACCTTGCTCTTTAATCCAGAGTTGTAGAACTTCCTTTCCTCCAAAAAGACATTGGCATGCAATCCTCAGGATTTCTATTCCCCAGCCCCTTTGTCTATAATTCTTCCAAGTCTTCATTTCCCAGCATGTACCTATTTATTGTTTAGGTCAGAAACTGTCTCCTTTTCAAAGAATCTTTTATTATCTACACTCTATATTTAGATGTCTAGCTCATATGTAGGGTTTTGACTTCATGATATTTCATAGCTTATTGCATATTAAACTTAATGAATTAGTGTAGAATTCTCTAGCATATAAACTAGTGGATTTGTCATGAAATGTGAAGACACAACGATATAAAAGATTCATACTAAATACTCAGTAACCCTAAGAATAATTTAATGAATGAATAAAATATTCTTCAAAGAAGCAACATTTTGGCATGCTAATATGAAAACTATAAATACATGTATATATTTGAATATAGAGGGATAATTATTTAAATTGGAGACATAATAAAGCATAACATATTTCAGAAACTGTGAAATATTGGTATGTTGTAATAGAGAAATATGCAAAATCCATTAGTATCTTCACTTGGTACCAGGACTTTCCTTTGGTAACAAAACAAAGAGATGGTCAAATCCCTTATATAAATTGGCATCACACTCACACACACACACACTATATATATAGATAGATAGATAGATAGATAGATAGATATAAAAGTTCTGCAATGCTTCCATGCACTTCAGATCACTTCTAGAATATTTAAAATACCTACTATAATGCAAATGTTATGTAAATATTTGTCAAGGCAATTTTTTTGGAATAGTGACAAGAAAAGTAGTCCTTATATATTCATTGCCTGTTCATATTTTTGACCGAATATTTTCCACCTGTGGATGTTTAAATCTGGGGATGCAGGGCCCTCTGGTGTGAAGGATCCAATGCATTATATTACAATATTTGTTACAAATTTATTTAATAGTAATAGATTTGAGGAAGCTAACCAAGAGCATAAATGTGTGTGTAAATATAAATTTATAGTGCATGCCTAGCTACTTAAATCAAGATTTTATTCTTCATTTTCTTCAGAGCCTCTTTCACATCCTTGTTCCGCAGGCTGTAAATCAGAGGGTTCAACATGGGAATCACCAGGGTGTAAAAGAGTGAGGTCATCTTGTCCTCATCTAGAGAGTAGGAAGAACTTGGCCTGAAGTACATGAAGAGCATGGTGCCCTGGAAAATCGCAACTGCGGTTAAGTGGGAGGTGCAGGTGGAGAAAGCTTTGAACCTCCCCTCTGCAGAGTTGATCTTTAAGACTGATAAAATGATATAACAATAAGAGACAAGAACTCCTGAAATGGTACTCAGCTCAATGAAACCAAAAACAGTGAAGATTGCCAACTCATTGACCTGTGTGTCTGAGCAGGACAGTAGTAGCAGAGGAGGGACATCACAGAAGAAATGATTAATCTCTTTAGACCCACAGAAACATAAGCGGAATGTCAATGTCGTATGTGTCAACGCATCTACCATTCCTACCAGATAAACTCCAACCAACAGTTGGAAGCAAGCCTTGCTGGACATGTTGACTGTGTAGAGCAAGGGGTTGCTAATGGCCTTGTAGCGATCAAAGGCCATCACTGCCAGCAGCAGACACTCTGCATCTGTAAAGATGCAGAAGATGAAGAATTGCAGAGCACAGCCAATGGCTGGAATTGAATTGTTTTTGACAAGTAGGTCCACCAGCATCTTTGGCCCAACAGCGGTGGAGTAGCAGAGGTCAGCAAAGGACAGGTGGCTGAGGAAAAAGTACATTGGGGTGTGCAGCCGGGAATCCAGTCTAATTAAAATGATCATTCCAAGATTTGCCAAAATAATAATGAGATAAACAACTAGAAATACAGAAAATAGGGTCACTTTCATCCCAGAGTTATTGGTAATTCCCAGGAGAAAAAATTCAGTTCCAGAGGAGCAATTGCGCTTGTCCATTCTTGTTTGTTCTTCTAAGCTCTAAGAAAAATCAGCAATAGAAGAGTGGGTTAGGATTTACCTTTGCCTGACTTCCAAACAGTATTCTCAGTAATGCAGTACATGAGAGTGGAAGATTTGCGTAGAAGTTAGTTTGTTGCTTAGAACACTTACCTCCTATTGGAGTGCCTGCTTTCAGTCCAGGAACCTTTATTTTGTATCCAGCTCTCCACTCTTGCACACTCTCGGAAGCAGCAGGTGATGGCTCAGGTTCTCGGGTCCCTGACACCCATTTGTGGGATCTGGACTGAAATCTGAGCTGCCTGGCCCAGATTTGGCTGCTGTGAACATTTGGAGGGTGAACCAGCTGGTGGAAATTCTCTTTAACTGTATCTCTGCCTTTATATAAATGAAAATCTAAAAATAAGGAAGAACATGTTTTATTTCTGTAGATTATCTTCTTATTCTGAGAAAATAGCCCAGGCAAGTAGTACTTTCTATGAGACATTTTCTTGTGAATAAAAGGCAATATTTGTCTATCAAAGTCAGTTCATAAGTAAAATTAAAAATAATTCTTGAAATGTGAGGTACATCTTAGCCACTTTCATTTAATTTCAGGATCAGATTTGAATAAAATTAATGCCGGCTCTAGATTTAAAATAATATAAAATAAATTGAATGTTAGATTAGCAGAAAGGAAATATAAGACTGAACATCTCTTGTATTTGATATAAAAACCATATTTATTACATGGTTATTAAAATAAAATTCATTTTCTCCTTGAAGATTGTATGGTATATAGTGATGAATTAACATATTATGCTACTTTTCAGATGGAGAATCTTTAGAGTTGACTGAACTGTGAAACACATTTTTATGCACTATTCTATCACTCTTCAGCACTATTATATCACAGTGTTTATAACCTCTTTGTATAACTCAAATTCTTCCAAAGGACAAACCCATGAGAAATCCCAAAAAGAAGTGATAAAAAAAAACAGGAAACAGCAGAATAGAATAAGTATGGTTTTTTGGGTTGCTTTTATATAGGCATTTTCATTAAAATGAGAATGGGAAGAAAAACAATGTTTATTTTTAATTATATGGGTTTCTATTTCCTATGATTGTGCATGCATTTATACATGTATTGGAGGTGTATGTATGTGTGTGCTTACCCGTTGATAAATGAACATTAGAAGGCTTGTGATGGTCTGACTCTTATTTCTCCCAGACTTAAAAATTTTGGTATAATATCCATCTGGACTTGAGTTTACTAATATTTGTATTTGTAATATGTTAACTCAGTTATTTGAATAATGAGAGAACACATTTTGAATTTAAATGCACATTGTCACCTGCATGAATGTTAATGATTTACTTATGAGTCTTGACTAACGTATAAATAAGTGAAAATTTTGTGTTCTTTATACAAAAGGCAAACTAGTGAATCCATATAAGTATAACATGAAAATATCATTTGCCCACTAGATTTCAAGTTTATTTAATTGTTTAATTAGGTATAGAATCATTCCTTTATAAATTCCTCAATACTCAATTCCTCATGTTTCCAAAATAAGGACTAGTTTTTCTCTCTGCTTTACATTATCTATTCATTAACCTACCTGAGACGAAAAAGTCTTTTTGTTCTCTCTGGTACCTGAACAACCAGCTCTCATTTTACCTCTACCTTGTGACTGTTGGAACTGAAATATATTATGCTTCTCTTCATTCTTATGTGTTATTCAGTGACGGTTAATTAGGTTACTATTTCAGCATTTCCCCCTGTGAATATATGCAACAATTTTAGCAGAGGTTGAACTTTTAGTTATTTAACCCTAATTTATATAACTGTTCAATGGCAGAAGTTTATTCTGTATAAGTTTGCACTATGGAACACTATGCTTCTTTGTCACAATGCATTTCAAGTAAATATATAAAATTTTTTTAAATTGAATGTACATTGCTATGTTATTATTAAAAGTTTGATTAACTTCCTGGAGGTATTTATTTTTCCATGGTGATGGCTTTCTTAAATCATGAAAGAGAATTACTTGCAGTTTAAGACATCTAGAGATAAGCAAGTGAGAGAAATATTATGTGTGAACCTCCAAACCATATTTTTAATTTTTTTTTAGTTTTTGTTTATGGATTTTTGAAGTATATTATTCATTTATTTTTTCATACACGTACACTTTTGTTTTTTTACTCCATATATTAGCTACCACAAATCAGGAAAAAAAAATGTCAGTTATTTGTCATTTTGGATCTGTCTTATTTGACTAAGAATAATGGTCTCCAGTTGCATACACTTTTTTACAAAAGACAGGATTTCATTCCTGTTTGTGACTGAGTAGTGTGTGTGTGTGTATGTGTGTGTGTGTGTATCACATATTCTTTATCCAGGAATCAGTTGATGGACATCCGGTTTACTCCATATCATGGCTATTGTGGATTGAGCTGCTATAACCGTGGGAGGTACAGATACTTCTATCATATGCTCTTTTCATTTCTCATGGCTATATTCCCAGAAATGGGATGGCTGGGTCATATGGTAGATCTGTTTTCAGATTTCTAGAGAGTCTTCATACTGTCTTCCATAATGGTTGCATTAGTTTATAATCAGACTGACAGTGTATGAGTATTCCATTTTCTCCACATCTTCACCACATTTGTTCATTTTTTGATTTTTGAATGATAGCTATTTTAATTGGGTGAATTGTGGTTTCTCTTTGCATTTCCTTGATGACTAGTGCACCGGATTATTTTTTCATGCTTCTATTGGTCATTTGTGCTTCATCCTTTGCAACATGTCTGTTCATGCTTTTTTCCCATTTCTTAATTGGATTTTTATTCTGTCATTGTTGAGCTTCTTGAGATTTTATATATTTGGGATATTAATCCTTTATGAGATGCATATTTTGAAAATCTTTCCTCTGATTTTGATGGTTGCCTCTTCACTTTGTTGCATGTTTCCTTTGCTGTGCAGACTCTGCTGACATTGATGTAATCTCATTTGTCTATTTTTGCTTTTATTGTCTGTGTTTCTGGAGTTTTATCTAAGAATTCTCTGCCTATGTCAAAGTCTTGAAGAGTTTCTCTGATGCCTTATTCTAGTAATTTGATTATTTCAGGTCATAGATTTAGATATTTATCCACTTTGAGTTGATTTCCATATAGAGTATAAGATAAGAATTTTATTTCACACTTCTGCATGCAAAGATCCAATTCTCCACATACAATTTGTTGAAGTGACTGTCTTTTCTCCAGGGAGTGATATGAGTTCATTTTTCAAGGATTAGTGGGTTACAGATATTAACACTAATTTCTAGGGTTTCTATTCTACTCCACAGGTCTACATTTCTTGTTTTGTGTCACAACTATGCCATTTTGAATATAACTGCCCTGTAATATGTCTTGAAATCTGGTATTGTGCTGCCTTCAGCTTTGTTTTTATTGTCTCGGATTGCTTTAACTATTCAAAGTCTTTTTGTTTCCATATGAATTTTAGGGTCATTGTTTCAGGATCTGAGAAGAATGTCCCTTGGATTTTTATTAGGATCACATTGAATCTATAAATTTCTTTGGGTAGGATGGGAATTTTGATGATTTTAACTCTTCTAATCCTTGAGATTGAACATTTTTCCATCTTCTGTGTCTTATTATATTTAATGCTTAATATTTTGTAATTTTCATTATAAAGATACTTCACATCCTTGGTTAAATTTATTCCAAGGTATTTACATTTTTGGTAGCTGTTGTCAATCAGACTGATTTAGTTTTTTAGATTTATTTATTTGAATGACAGAGTTATAGTGAGGCAGAGAGAGAGACAAAGAGACAGAGAGAAGGAGAGAGAAGTCTACCAGCTGGTTCACTTCCCAGATGGCTGCAATGGCCGGAGCTGCACCAATCTGAAGCCAGGAGCTTCTTCCAGGTCTCCCATGTGGGTGCAGGGGCCCAAAGACTTGTGTCATCTTCCACTAATTTCCCAGCCATAACAGAGAGCTGGATTGGAAGTGGAGTGGCCGGATCTTGAGCTGGCCCCCATATGGGATGCTGGCACTGCAGGCGGTGGCTTTACCTGCTACACCACAGTGCCAGCCCCAGTGAGATTGATGTTACGAGTTTGTTCTCAGCCATGACATTGTTTGTGATTATAAATTCTACTTATTTTTGTGTTGATTTTATATCTACATCTTTGGTAAACTCTCTTATGATTTCTTTTAGTGGAGTCTTTTGGTCCCCTTCTATATAGGATCACGTCATCTGCAAACAGGGATAATGTAACTTCCTTATTTTTATTTGTATGTCATTTCTTTTTCTTGCCTAGTTGCTGTGGCTAAACCTTACAGAACTGTATTGACTACGAATTATGAGAGTGAGCATCCTTATTGGTTCTTGATATCAGTAAAAACTCTTCTAGCTTTTTCCCATTCAATATGATGCTGGCTGTGGGTTTGTCACATATTTGCTTGATTGTTTTTAGTTGTATTCCTTCTGTATCCATTTTGCTTAAGGTTTTTATCATGAAAGGCAAATTTTGCAAGTCATAGTATTCTATTTTTGATAAATTTTAACTTAACATTAACAGTGTATTTATTTTTTTCATTTGAAATTTAGAATGATAGAGAAAGATGCTTATGCAGAGATAGAGAGAGAGAGAGAGAGAGAGAGAGAGAGAATGTCTTCCAAAGTGCACATTAGTAGGAAGCTGGATGGGAAGCGGTTGTGGGATTCAATCAAAAGCACTCAGGTATGGGATGCCAGCATCACAACAGGCCGATTAAACTTCTGAATCTCAATGCCCACCTCTAATTAACTGTAAAGAACTTCATTTAATGTCTATATTTTACTTTTGTTTACTTCACCCAAGAGAGCTAGATCTTAAAGATCCCAATATTAATCAGATCTGAGTGTTTATATTTTATAATTTTCAAATGGGTGAGCAACGTGCATCTCTTTAGTTTTGAGACTGATGGCAACTTAATTTTAGCTTTAACACAACTCAAACACATTCCTGTTGT